TCAATTGTATCTTGCTATTTTCCTTTTTCTTTTCATCAAATAATACAAATTATCTACTGTTTTCGTGGTTTTTGCGGACTTTTGCGGAGAATTATCACTGTTTTCCCAAAATTTGATAGAAAATACTTGAAATCTGCAAGTGTTTCCTATCAAATTGGTATCAGAGCAAGTCTTGGGACCGGTGGATGGTTGTTTTCGGCAAATTTCAGCAGCAGTTTTTTGCCCGAAAAAAGAGGAAGTTGCTGTTTTTTACTCCAAAATACAAATTTTGTGAATCTACAAACTCCGAATTGTAATTGCGGCCAAGAAAGTTGATGCTTTGGAGGAGAGACTCGAAGGAGAGATAAATCACATCAAAGAAACCTTGGAGGAAAGAATTTCTTCCATGGATGGACAGGTGGCCGATCTCAGGGATATGATGAAAAGAATGCTGGAGCTTCAAGCACAAACGGCGGCATCCGAAACGAAGGGCCCAAAAGCGAAGAACACCAATTCTGAAATCCGTAAGGAGGAAGAAGATGTGGAAATCATGGAAGGGGGAAGAAGAAGACCTATGTGGAGCCTTTCCATAGGGAGGAAAGAGGAGATCGACATGGGGAAAGGTATGTCTATGGGGAAGCGGAGCAAAGAGAGGCTGATTGGAAACGCTATGAGGGGTTTTACGGCCGTCGGGGTGCTGATTTTGAAGAAAGAAGGGGGGATCTCGAAGGGAGTTTGGGCTATGGCAGAGCAAGGGAAGATCGGGAAACATGGGGTGGACCTGGCACTTGGGAGAGGGGAAATTATGGGAGAATCAGGGGAAATTGTGGATGCCCATATTCGAAGGAGAAGATGTGTATGGGTGGATTTATAAGGTCGAGTGATACTTCGTCGTCAATGGGCTGACGGAGGAGGAGAAGCTAACATCAGCGGGACTGTGCTTAGAAGGGAAAGCCCTGTCGTGGTTTCAGTGGAGAGACCAGAGGAGGCCGATCAGGAACTGGAGGGAATTTAAAGACTACATAATAGAACGTTTCCAAACCGATCGGGGAGGAGACTTCTATGAGCAGTTCTTTGCTCTAACACAGGAGGGATCAGTAGCAGATTACCGGGAACAGTTTGAGCACCTAGCTAACAGGGTGGAGTGACTCTCAGATACAGTGTTGGAGAGGAATTTCATTAAAGGGTTGAAGGCGGAGATCCGAGCAGTAGTGAAGGTGTTGATGCCCTGTGACTTGGGGGAGACCATGAAGTTGGCACAGCTGGTGGAAAATCAGAAGAATCTGGAGAAGGGAGCCAGGAGCAGCCACTTAGGAGGCTCTTACAAGACTACAACCACTCTTCTAGCACCCAAAGGGCCTGCCTCAAGCAATATTAATGAGACCACCAGGGAGAAGCCGGTAAAAGGAGGGAGTGGGAAAATTTTCAAGAGGCTGACAGAGAAGGAGATGCAGGAGAGGAGGGCAAAGGGGTTGTGTTTCAGGTGCGAGGAGAAGTATACACCAGGGCATCGATGCAAGGACTGAACTCTTCGGGTTCTCACCGTCTGCGATGACGAGGAAACTGAGGAGGGAGGTGAGGAGGAGATGGAGGAGAAGTTACACTTGGATATGGCTGAGGTTTCATTGAACTCAGTGGTAGGATTCACCACAAATCATACCATGAAAGTGAAGGGGGAGATAGAGGGCAGGGAGGTGGTGGTGCTAATTGAGAGTGGGGTTACCTACAATTTCATTTTCACTCAGTTCGTTGACCAATTGGGAGTGAAGTTAGTGGACACCGGTTGTTATGGAGTGATGATGGGTACAGGGAAGGTAGAGAAAGGCCAGGGGATCTGTAGAGGAGTGGTGTTGACCATCCAGGGGATTCAAGTAAGGGAGGACTTTCTCCCACTAGAGTTAGGAAGCACTGATGTCATCCTGGGGATGAAGTAGTTGCAAACCTTAGGGGAAACCAAGGACAATTGGGGAGCACTCACGATGGAATTAATGGTGGATGGAAGAAATATGGTTATAAGGGGAGATGCAGGGCTATCCAAAGCCATGACATAACTTAAGACCATGGTTAGGGACATACAAGAGGTGGGGGAAGATTATCTGGTGGGACTACACAGGTTGGATGGGATCAGATTGGAGGAGGAAGGGGATGTTTCTCTTTCGATGCAGCCCTTGGTTTTGCAATACAGTAAGGTTTTTCAGTCACCTTAAAGATGGTCACCTCCGCAGGAACACGGGCATATTTCCACCTTGAGGACAAGGTGGATCTTTGGGAGGGGAGTATTGTTAAACAGATCCGCACGGGATCAGCCCTTCGCAATTTGTCGCGGGATCTCCGTCTCCTGCGGAGATAGAGCGGCCCGACCGCCCAAGTAGAGCGTTTTTGTAAGGATTTTTTTGGGGATTAAGAGAGAAATTTGAATGTAGGGACTATTTAGGGAATTCCTTTTGATTTGTATGCATTAAATAGTTGATTTTCCTAGGGTTTAGGTATCTTGAATTTGGCTGAAATTTGAGAACTTTAAGATTTAGGTTTTTTATGGGCTCTAGCGGCTTCTAGAGATTTGGGAGAGATCGATCCTCCTCTCTGGTGGGGGCAAGAAATATAGGGGAGCCTATACCCCTCGCCCACACGAACGATTGGTCCTTAACCGACGACCCACTAATTTACGAAAGATGAAGACTAAGATGAGGAAGAACAAACTCTTACATTTCAAATCTAAGACCGACTTAGAAATTAAAAAAAAAAATTATGACGACTTACAAACTCGACTCGAAATTAAAAGACACCCTAAATTTGCTTTACTTAAAGACGAAAGATACAGATGGAGTGGCACTTATGGAGAGACGAAAGAGATTAGAAGCCAAGAGGAAAGGTTGGAAAGAGATAAATTAGGAATATATGATATCTCTGCAGATTTTTGGACACAATGATTTATTCAACCTACGAGAAAAAAAAAATAGAAAGCAGTAAATGGATTGAACAGGCAAAATAAAACTCAGTTAACCAGCACCAAAAATATACTTCCCTAGAAGTTGCTGAATAGCATCTTATTTATCTGAAGGACAAAAACAAATAGTGATATAAATAATAACCAATGAATGGAAATGAAGAATTCAAGAAACTAAGCTCAAAACACTAGGTGCATAGCCCAATCGTAGTGCCCCTGCCTCCAACCTACAGGTCTGGGGTTCGATTGGGTCAAAAAAAACCTAAAATAGTTAGGCACAATAAGTAAAAATGATTAACGGACTATTTTGTTTACGCTTTGATTGGCCATAAGCCTGTTCAAATCACCAAATGATTTATTTAGTGATTAATAAAGCAACACATACGCCCCTGTCTTTGTTTGGTTCAGCTATTTACCTGCTTTATAATATATATGTCCACGTCTTTGTTTGGTTCAGCTGTTTACCTGCTTTATGATTTACTTAGATAATAAGGACATAATTTCTTAATTCATTAGTCTAAAATACTTTCAATAAGTATTGAGGACCCTAATTTATATATAAGGTGCCATGAGATTTTTTAGAGGATCATCCACTAAATATGAAATATTAGACTTCTCAATGCTATATCTCCTTTCAATTTTTCTTCTCTTCTTCTATTTTCTTTTTTTAACTTTTCTGCTGTTCTCCTTTAACCATCTTCACTGTTTGCAATGGAGTGTGGGGGGTAACAGTACTTATTGTATTAAAGATAGATGAAAACTCGAGCGTTTTACATATGCACGATAGAGAGTAGAAGATACACCAATAAATAGTGGAGAGAAAGTTTAAGTAAAAGCAATAGAAAGATAAGGTGAGAAACAAAAAGAAGCATGACCAAAAATTTTGCAAAAAGAGTTCCATAAAATAGAGTTACCACATGCAGAAATAAATAGGAAGGAATGAAGAAGATGGATCCCTGCGCCAGACAGAAGGTTCGTTGGAATAAGGATAATGATAAAAAATCATGAAAATAACTCTTCGCAATACAACGATGAAGTTGCGTACGTGAACCACTTCCCAAAATCTATGTGATGAGATCTGCAAATAAGGTTCATACTTTTTATTTCTCGTGGTGATTAGACTAGATTAGTGTTTGCATCAGTGTAAGGGTGATGGGAGGTGGAGGCATTGATCAGCTTGGATTTCATGCCTACAACTACATAAGATCCAAACGTCCATATATTAATTTCCCATTCTTCAATACCTCAAATCTTTCTCATCTCAATGTAAATTTGGGATTAGAAGGGCAATGATGGTGTTGAGCACGAATTCATTCCCTTGGTTTAAAATATAATGCAAAACAAGGTGAAGAATAGCTCAAGAAAGCAGAAGAATAAGCTAAAGACAACAATTCAATTATTATAGTGTACCACTGACGAGGAAAGAAGAAGATAGCATCAAAAGACAACCTCTATGCTGTACAAAATCAGCCAAAGGACCTAATAACTACCACAATACAGCAGCCAGTCCAGAAACTGGTCTAAGGACTGAACCAACCCATGGTATTTTTAAATAACTGAACCCATACCAGTCGGTCTACTATTGTAATGTAGTTTATTAATTGTTTGCATAAGTGGCCCCTTTAAACCACATGTATGAACCTATAAATGACCCCCATGTGCTGTAATTTTGGTAGAGAAAAATAAAAATTTTGTTTCGTCTCTTATCTTTTCCCCTCCTCCCCAAAGAGTCCGCACCTACTCAAAAGGTGTCCTAACCTTCTTGATTCAATCAAGAACCATATCAAATTGGTTCCTTAGTTGATTGTATTAAACAGAGAAGTTCCTGAGTTCATTGTATAAAACTTGTGAGTGCCAGGAACATAAATAAAGAATTAATATGGTTTAAGTACATCAAGAAAGCACTGCACTAGCAATGAACAATAATTATTGTCTCGACTTTCCTTTTTTACAAAAATGGAAAATTTGGAAAGCTCATAAATTTAACAAATGACATAAATAAGACTGACTTCGTCAGACAATGATATTAAGCTTTATAAACTAATGCATCCTATAAGTTGGAATGAGTGCATACCTTCCTGAAAATTCAAAGCATAGAAAACCCTGGGTGGTATGGAAGCTTAAACCAGGCTGGTAAGAAAAGATCTAAAAAGAACTACTAAAAGATTAGTACATATATATAGTAGAAATAGCATTTACTATCATAAATGAAAATTTCCTTACCGCATTCATTAATGACTTAAAAGCTATCTCTGGTAGGTAAGCCAATGTTGTTCCACTGTCAAGTATTGTACCTTTATTGTCCCCAGTTTCAAAAATATCAGTTGGAAGATTCAGGAATGCCCCGCCAACTTGAATTGATTTAAGAATGATGTTGTAATGTGGCCTGCAGAATTTAAACACTTAACAGATATGGTAGATCCACCAAGAATTAAGTGCCAATTTATTAACAACAATAAATAACTAAAGCCTGAACCTATAGCACTATGATCAAAAGATAAAAGATCAAACCATGCATAAGCTTTGAGAGAGAACATATAACATAAAAGTAAGACTCACGTATGTCTAAAAATAAATTAATCATGGCAATGCATGTTTATTGGCTTCTCCAGCTAATATATATATATATATTTATTTATTTATTTATTTATTTATTTCCTCCGGCTAATATATCCCTCTACATATCTATGCATATGTCTAGAACCTTAACACTTAGAATCTTCTACTGACCAACTAGAACTTGGCTAAGCCGACTCGATTGTCATACAGGGCGACTTGACCTAGAGGTATCTTGGAAGAATAGAGTTGGAAGTTTAGACAAGGTTGCTTGGGCAACTCTGTAGTTTCCAAACAATTTCAAGAGGGTAGTGTAGACTTGTTAACACCAGTGTTTACCTAAAGAAATTTTTTAGCAATAGTAAATCCTTTCAAGATGCCCTACTTAAGTTGACTTTATGACTAACTAGATTGGGTATAGCCAAGTAGATTAAAACAAAGAAAGGGACCATTAATGCTTTCAACAAGGTATGATATTTGGTAATGGTCCCCACTAAGTAAAGCCGGCATGCATAATGTCCTAGACTAGATTTATCTCCTAGGATTCAACCCTTCCTGATGTAGATAGAAATGGGATAAAGCAAATATATAGAAGAGTGTCATTATGGGTGTAAGTGAGACAAGTCAACTCGTGAGCTAGCTCGAATTCAACTTGCTAACAACCTCGTGAAACGAGCTCATCGACCGCAAGCTCGAGCTTAAGCTCAAGCTGAACGTCATATATTAAATGAGCTCGAGTTCATGCTTGACGAGGCTCAGCTTGTCGGCTCGCCAACTTGCTCATATATTCAATCGTTGCTCACTAATAGCAATGGATGCACAATCTCCAATTCATCCCAATCGTAATGACTATAAAAGTCAATTCTACCAACATAAATGCATTTAATGAAAAAGGTTGACGCTACTTTCCTTCCTCAATGGCTTTTAATGAAAAAGGCCAAAGCTGTTTTTCTCTCTCACCTATCAAACAGTGACTTACAATGCTAGTCGCATTGATACCTTCTCTAAAAAGCTCTCATACCAATTTTTTCTTCTCCAACCACTGTTCAGGTCAATGCCTTCTTCGATGAACTTAGTGATTTCCACTTCTCCAATCACTAGTCATGTCGATGCCTTAGTGAGTTCCACTGACAACTTCTTGCTCATATTCTTTGGCGCAAGCTCATGAGCTGGCTTGAGAGCTTGCCTTCATTGATGTGAGCCAAGCTCAAGGTCTCCATTTGAGCTTAACTTAAGCTCAAGTTCAAGCTAGCAAGCAAGCACGTGAGTCAAGCTTGAGTTAAGAATGATTAGAGGTTGGCTCAACTCGTGTATTAAAATCTTCGTGTATAAATAAACTTGCCTAATTAGTAATAATTAAATGATCCCTCCTGCCTCTATTTAAGGAAGTAGACCTCTTCGAGAGAAAGGTAACTATTCCCTTCAACCTGGCAAAAAGTGTGAGTAGTCAGACCTACTAAATGAGAACAATGAAGAGTGCAAGAAATGAACAAGCTAGGATGTCATCTTTAACCTTCATGTCACCTGATGGAAAATCATATTCCATTACAGAGTAGCACTATTTTCCTCAACATCTAAATTATTATGTTACCTATCTTTCAACTTGCATAGGGATGAATATGATATTAAATATCACAGTATATAAGATCCTCAATCTTTATAATACTTGGATAACTCTCAATAAAGAAGTTTGTGATGCAATGAATGAGTAATGAAAATGCTTAGCAAAAATTTTGTCGAATTAGGAGCAGGTGTGACCATTACAAAGTGTTTTTAACTTGAAGTTGTATGGAGATTACTTGGAGGTTATGTGACATCCATTATAACTATAAGGTAGTGTGACACTGTTATAGATACTTGAATTTTTAGGGAGCAGTGTGACCTCCAACATAGTTGAACTACAAATATGAATTAACGGGCATGATATGCTAGCTTAACTGGATTAAATGGATTGTTTTATTGACATGCATCAGTTTAACCTTATCTGAATCACTTGTAAATTGGATAAGTAGTTGTGATAGAAGCTTCAATGAAGTACATTTTGAGCTTACCATGTTTGTACTACCTTGAATGTTTTAAGCATTTTACATTAAGTTATATACACTCTCAGTGTTTACATCTCTCTGCAATGGGTGAGGAGGTTGTTGGTGAGATGTGAGGAGACCAAGCATGGCAAGGAATGAAATAGTTATTAATCTTAATCATTTTGGAGCCAATAAGACCGCATCGCTTGTAACTTCAGTAAGGACTCCCTTTGTTGGCGTAAGGCCATAGGTTTAATAATGCCTCTTCTATTTGTTTGATTATTCTTTCCTAATAATATCTTACATCGACAAATTTAGTTTAACGGGTCAGTTTTCCCACCTCTCACATTGTCTTTTGTGTTGTTGTGTTGAATACTTTGCCTTGGCCAAAAAGAAGTCAAAAGTTCACCACTCAAAATCATGTTTGTCAATGACGCAAAATAGTGTACGCCAAGGAAGACGGCGTGGAGCGGAACACCTACAGCACAATCTGTATGGCGCGGCACAAATGTTCAAAATGGCGCGTTATTTGCATGTAATGGCACATGGTACATGGCACAAATAGCGCGAGAAATTTTATTTAGGGATTTTTAATATAATTATAAATATTTTAAAATATTTCTACATTTTATTTATAAGATAATGTAATATTTAATTTTAAAATATGATTAAAATAGTTTAGTTAAGTTATATTATTATGTTGCCCTAACCCTCACGATTCGTGAGTCACGAATGAATGAAGGCTACTCCCGAGCTGTCAATCCACGATAACTAAGCGAGTGCGAGTGGTCTATTGCTGCCCAAGCCTTCGTACGATTTTGTCGCCCTCTCCTTCATTTTATTATGCTCCTTCTTCCATCTATTTCTTCCATCACTTAAGTCCGCTATTGTTGGATCCTCGTTCGTTTGATTCCACCGCAGTTTAGGGTTCGTCCGTCTGTTTCCGCCGCTATTGGATCTATTGTCTTTTTGATTAAGCGCGAAGGAGGTTCATTGCAAGTAAACAATCTCTAATATGCTTCTTATTCCTTCCTTCGTATCTTCTGGTATTGCCTAATCCAATTGATTCCGCCGCTGCTAGATTTTTCTCATCTTATGCTTCAATTTGTATATGTGTTTACAACCAAAAAAATATAGCAGTCTTTCAAGTTCATCACAATTTTTTGTTGATTGTCATATTATTTTAGTAAGTTGATTTTATGAAACGCATTTTCAACTATCAAATAGAGAAAAATGCAAAAGTTTATATTTTTTAGGTTGGGATGTGTTAGGTGTTAGATCCTTGAGTTAGTTGTGCTTGTTGTAGACTTGGTTAGGTAATTAGTTTGTATGTAGCAATATCATTGATTTGTTTGAAATGCACAGTGAGACACTTTGGGAAGTTACATAAGGATCATTTCAATACATCGAATACAATCATCTTGAATTCTTAGTAATTATTTCAAAATATATAATTTGCCCAATATAACATGGTTAGAGAAATTAGACAGTGCAAGCACTGAACTTTTTTTTCATTTTTTGGATAATCTAGTTACATTTGAAGTAACCTAAGCAACGCATTCATTATCGGACAAAATTTGATTCTTTGAATCTGTTTGTGATTTATATGGTGAACTTTACATTGATTTCAAGCATGTGAGACTAACTTTTATTCATCTAAGGGAGACCAAAATTTAATTATTTGAATTTGCTTGCATATAAGTGATCATAAAATATTAGATTTAGTTCAATTTTAAAAAAAAAAGATCCAGTATGGTAATATGCAATATTGACTGATCAAGTCGATAACAATACTGTGATATGTATTTTTTGTGGCAAAATAACAAAAGGAGAAATAACATGCCGCAAGGGTTTTAGAAATGTTAGACCTTGCTCTAATTGCCCCGAGCTTCTCTTTCAATTTAATGATATTTCATATTCATGCTTATTTTTTTATAATTATTTTAGAGTTTACGTCATGTTCAAATGGAGCGTGCAGCGCAAGGCGCTATGCGTTATGGCTCCAAAGGGAGCTTTGCATCGTGGTGCATCATTTGTCGTTAACAAGTATGCTCATAATACAACAAGTTCACATGATCAACCACGTCGGAGCAAATCTTTAAGCCAATATGGACCTAGTAGCATCTATAGGCATGTATGAAATGCGTGGAGCCTACCACCGAGACAAAAGTGTGTAATAAAAACAACCAAAAACTTACAAGATTAGACAACTAAAAGAACTCTATAAGACTACATGCATGTCTAGCCCTTCAAGAAGATAGTCTCCAAATCATAGGTGATTTTTCCCTCAATTGTCTTGGCTAGAAGTTTCATGAAACCCAAGAGAAAGGCTCCCAAAACTTGATGTTGTAGAATGTATGTTGCGGGGATTAGGGGTGTAAGTGAGCCGAGCCGGCTCAAGCTCGACTCGTTTATTAGCTCGTGAATCGAGCTTACCGAGCCGAGCTTATCGAGCTCACGGGTCGAGTTCTTGCTCGCGAGCCAGCACGAATAATTATTAATATTTATAAAATAATTTTATTTTATTTATTAAATCTAAATATTAAAAAATAAATAAAATCACCTAAGTTTTATTTAAATGTTAAACATTACCTCTTTTTTTTCTAAATCCCACCTTAAGTTTTAAAATTCTCGTCATGGCTCGCGAGCCGGCTTAAGCTCGTTTACAGTGGGACGAGCTCGAGTTCGAGCTCGTTTTCCAACTAACGAGCTGAGCTCGATAAGGCCTAAACTCGACTCGACTTGTTTGCACCCCTAGTGAGGACTAGTGAACATCTCTGTTAGAATGGTCCATTGGTCCGGTCCA